TGCCATCATTTTAAAGTGAATAATGCCTTGGCTGTTCATGGTTGAAGAATATTTGACAAATTATCCATAGGCAAACGCGTCTTCTAACACATTATAGGTACATAACAGCAAGAATCAAAATGGAGAGTATTTTCACCAGACCCAAGTGGTTTGTAAACAAATCTGTCTTAGAATTTATATCTCGACGGTGAAGACGGTTTACTAATTCCCAGAGAATATGGTTCATTTGTGTCGCGTCAGTTTACGTTAAAAATTAAACTCACTGATCTGGGTTGTCTAATCGCGAAGCTTTCATAGTCTTTCTGGACGATATCATCAGCACTAACTTCAGTATGAAGTCGTCGTCCAGAAAGACGATGAAAGCTTCAGAAATTAAACAACCCAGCTCAGAGAACACAATGCAACCAATACCATCCATCTGAGCTACAAATATTCTCCATTATTTCAAACTGAACTCAGTCCAATAACCCATGGAAGATCAAATGTTTATTATGTTCGTGATATCTTATGTAACTAAAAACAAGTCATATTCTACTCATATATAGTAAAAATTTAATGGGAGTACATCAGGTATAGTTTCAGTTGGTAAACCTTATTCCTTCGGTGTATATCAGATTTAACACTGAAATACTAACAATGAAACACTTTTAAAGTGTGGATTTCTGCTTCAAATCTTCCTTTGACAAAGTTTTATTTTCAAATTCAAACGTTATCTGACTGTAGAAAGTAAATAAATGAATCAGAATTGTTAACCTAATTATTTTACGGATTTCTGGCTACAAACAAAGCGGTAAACAAACAAGGCGATGTAAGAATGATGAATGAATAACTAAAAAGAATTCGGTTCTAAAAAAATGATTCTTTATTTAACTGAGTGCTGTGAGTAGAAGACGTTAAATCTTGATTGATGAAACCTATCATCCACTTTTTGATTTATTGCAGAATTTCATGGTGCAATACTTGGAAATACATTTTTCTAAGACCTCTTTACTTAGAATTTTCTTAAAAACAAACAAAATGTTTCTGGAAATATAAATTTTTAACTTCGATGAGAAAGTGCACCAAGATGTTGTCCAAATTTTTCGTCTTCCATTCGCATACCTAACACAAGCGATGATGGATACCAGACACGACTAATTCTCCTCACTATTTAGTCTGGAAATGGCCTTTCGAGATACTGGATCCTATGAAGAATGAAATTTTGAAACATAACCTAAACGATACACTCCACTCTGTTGATTCAATCAAGAATATCACTTTATCGGGGAAGAGGTTGGTTTCTCTTGATATCATCCACCTATTTACAATTGTCTCACTAACGGATAGCATTTGTATTCTGTGTGACTACATTCAGTCTCATAACTTCTACATTAGTATCCTAAATCATTGTGCTTTCAAGGTATCCTTCAGATTTAACAATGAAATCTACAGACGTGTGGATCACCTGGCAATGGGATCATCTCCAGGACCCTTCATAGCTAATAACATTTTGGCAAGCCTGGAAAACAACCTTATCAGAAATACTCAGCTAGTTTCATATCTAAAAAAGTTACATAGATGATATCTTCATTGTTCACGACAAGAATGCGGATCTCAAAAGCCTGCTTCAAACTTTCAGTAACATTCATCCCTTTATCAACTTCGCTGTAGAAGCAGACTCAAGTTCAGAATTCTGCTTCTTTGATGTCCAACTTCAAAGATGAAAATCCAGTCCAGAGATCTAATTACAGAGAGCTCACTTTGAAAAGACAGCCTATTAATTTTCAAAACTGCTTCCGCCTTAAACAAAAAGAGGAATTTTATTGATTCGTTCTTCTGAATAATACGAAGAATATGCATGAGGATACCATCGAAGGTAGAATAGAAAACCTACAAGAAATTCTGATGAGAAATGGATACCCACTGAAATTTGTTGATAAGAATCTAAAGACCAAAAACTTCACGTAATCCTTGTATACTGCTTCAAAATAGATTTTCTGCTGAATCCCGAATTTAAGGGAGGTAATGTCGCAGATATCCTTCGAAAGAAACTGTCAAGATCCATAAACAGAACATTGTTTGCCGTCAATCTTCGAATCGAATTCTTCTTACAGAAACTCATTCCCCATTACGCAAAGAATAAGCTTGAGCACTGGGTCACATAAGTGTGTGCATTGACTGTAACATATACTAGATTATACAACGCGCTTGCAAAAATTTGAATTCACAAATAAAAGCTAATAATCTTAGTTTATTCGGAAATGTTTTATATCTGTTTGCCTAAAGGTTGTTTGTTTTACTGAATTATGAAATTTATTCTCTGTATGACAGTCACTCAAGGTTAATAATGTTCTGTTCAATGTGATATTTCATTTGGCTTTGATGCCTTTAAATGAAAAATATTATTGTGTGTTACTGCCTGTCTGATTTCCAACAATTATCTTGTTAGTGCTTAAATGAGTGGCTAAAAAGCAGCGGTTTGAAAATAATTCCTGAAATTACCTACTTTATGGTTAAATGGTTCATCTAAGTCAGCTTGTCAGATTCATCTGATTTAGGAAAATCAGATTTCCCAGTCAATTCAACTGAAGTACACTTTTTGATTACCTAAGCCTTGGATGGGTGGAACAGCTGTAACTTGTTAATCAACGTGTGTATATACCTCTAATAGAGAGGTTAACACAGCTTTTGCACTGATATATGATACCACACTTAAAAACTGAACGACTGATCATTCATTGCTGCAGTATACAGTAGTAGTGTCTTTTATAGCATGGTAATAAGCTAACAAAGGATCCAAGCAATTCATTTTTGTTATAGCTAACTGCACACAGGCTATCTCTACAACCTCTTGGTATAGTGTTCCTATGATCTTGTACTATGTCATAGAATGCATTTCTAATGTGTGGTGGACAAGTACAGTTTTTAAGTATGATAAGTTGAAACTATCAACTCAGAGAACGGCCATAACAGGTTATGAGGGAAAAGTTACACTTTAAAAGCTGACTTAGAATAAATCGTTCTGCTATAGGGAAGTATTTGTGCAATAAAACGCTAACCGGATTTACTCTTATTACTGTTTATAGATATGCTAGTAATTCTCCGTTGTTTTACTCGATCGAATTGTCTTACCTTTGTTGCCAAATGGCCTCCTATACGAATGCCTTCAAGTCACCTGATTGTTGAGTATGGTAATTTACTTGGTTATGGCTGGCAGAAGAATCCAGAACGTGCATTTCTTCCTGTTTGGGACTCACAGGTTAGCTGGATGTATCCGCACTCCAGTGTGGAGTGATATTGCTTCCACCGAGACTCAAACCTCGTACCCATCGTTTCAAACGCCAAGGCGTTATCCACTATGCCATGGAGGCACAAAAGCCACCTCTTCTACAATGGGCACTGGTTATTATTATTCACTGATAGGCTTGTAAATCTCCGTTGAAGCAGTAGATCCTGGATTGCTCAGCTATCCACAACCAGGCAAATTACCATATTTAACAATCAGGCAATATCGAGGCATTCGCACAGCAACCCATATGCCAATAGCGGTCGAACAATTCGATCCAGTAAAACAACGGGGAATTACAAGCACATCTGTAAATAGAAATGACTAATACCCGTTGTAAAAGAAGTGGCTATCGTGCCTCTGTGGCATAGTGCATAACGCCTTGGCGTTTGAAGCGATGGGTACGAGGTTTGAGTCTCGGTGGAAGCAATATCACTCCACACTGGGGTGCGGATACAGTGAGTCGCAAATACGACGAAACGCACGTTCTGGATTCTTCTGCCAACCACACCTAAGAAATTACCAGGATTTACTCTTGTTCACAATTTTTTCTGCTGGGTTTTGTAAAAAGGTGTAGACTACCCGACTGGGGTCTCCCAGCTGACAGGAATTAGTGGTTGAAGACTCCTGACGAAATAGCTAATTTTAATTTTAAATTTTCTCTCTACCCATTCACACATTTGTCTGCTTTGATATCAGTCTCTCCTCTCCACTTTTTTGTTGTATACTTCTTTGAAAAGCAGCAATGTGAACCAATGTCGTTGTATGCGAGGTTCTACGTTGATTTTGCCTGTCTGTTTATCGATGAACAAAAGGCTTTTGTTGACTTTTCTTCCTACTTCGTTATTGATTTAACTTAAGCTTAGTAAGTAAACAAGGGTTCGGAGATCATTGTTAAATCCTAAACTCACTACAGAAATCGTGATAATGACCTGTCCGGAAATAATAACAGCTATTTCATTCTAGTTTCGGACTCCTCGATAGTCCAACCACGCCAGGGGTCGAACTCAGGACCTTCTGGTTTCATGGTGAACGCGTTAACCCCTCATCTATTAGGTCGCAGTTCAATGGTTCACAGTTTTCTACGCCTATCGGTTTGCCGTCCAGTCTTCCCAGGTTTTCGATGGTTCTTCAAATGATGTCAGTCCGTAATGAATACTACCTTAGCTAGCTAAAACAATTAGCTAGACAATGGCTAGATAATAGTTTCTAGATCAGACCACATTGTTTATCTTTTACATTCCAAGAAGTTTATCTCCATATAATTATTCATTTCCATCGACCACTCACTTCCACTCTATACAATTGGTTTCATCACTCTGGTAGCCTTATTTATTTAAAAAGTTAGGGGACTATCAATTCACTTCAAAGTGTTTAGGTAGAGAACTATTGAGAACCAAGGGGGACCGGAGAACCGTTTTATCGTTTTTTGATTCTCCTCAGTGTTGTGTACTCAAATACTAAGTCAGGATCGAGTTTAGGACTGTCGGGTTTCAAGGCGAGCACGTTATGACCTCCTCAGCAGTTCTCACTTCAATACATGAAATTCTTCTTCCCCTTGAGAATGTATTACGACTATCATACCTTCCATATTCACCTATTTAAAAAAAAATTGTATTTCATGGATCTTTACCTTGTAGAAGCCTGGATTTTTCGAATGTTGACCGACAGGACTAGTCTATTTTAAACTGTTTGGTTCACATTTGACCAATCAGAAAATGCTTAAGTAAATGTTGTTTTCTTTTCCCTCTATCACTCAATTGATTCTGAATAGTTTATCTGAATAACCAATACTATTCGGTTTTTAAACTGACAGATGAAGAATTGGCGATTAAGTGTACAGACAGCTGTAAATCTTAACACTCCGTTTGTTCTTGAATTCAATCAGTGGCTGTTATATACATTGATACCTTAGAGGTAGTATACTACGATTGTCATTTGATTTTCCAATTTCTTCTGTCACAATTATGAAGTTCAGTTGTAACTGTAAAATGCTGCACATCTGTTTTATTCTACTCGTTATAACAGTTACATCTACAGGTGAGTTTGTTTTCAGAAAATGTTTACCTAGTTAAAATACTGTCTTATGATAACTGTTATTTTGAGGATAATATAACGGTTCAATGACGTAATATGTTAATTCTAACTTGTATGCGTTTACTGTACTAATGGTATTCTAACGTCGTCGTCTACACATGACAGGTATGAAATCTGACCGCTAAAATGTGAGTTCAGTAAGATTAGGAACATAATAAGAAGGTTTTATACCACTTTTATGTTTGATATTTCAAACAGACAATAGTCATGAGAACCGTGAGGCAGACCTTGAATATATAAAAAATTGTCAAATCCCCCTCAAGCAGATACAAAGTGAAACAGTAGATTAATTTTCCTGTTTCAAAAGTCTAGGTAATTCATATCTCAAAACAGGAGCCTAAAAGACTATGACTGTCTACTACATAATCTACAGTTATGGGAAGTTGTGTTCAAAGTCTTGTGCCATGAACACTTGTTTTGCTGGGCATCAGATCCAAAGAGAAACCTAACACATTGCTAATATTGATGCCAAGTAATCATAGATAGTGGCTAATAGTGGAAATCAGGATGCGCATTTCGCCCTATTTGCGACTTATTAGCTGGACATGCCGCTAGAGACCAATAAATTCTGTCAAATCAACGACAATATATTAGAAGCAATAACGCCAGTATCGACTGTTTACCACTGAATAGCTTAACGAATAAATTCGATAACGCGTTGAACTCACCGAAAAACGGATTTACCGCTATGGTACCATAATTCAGCTCAAAAAGACAAGAAATTATGTAGGAGAATTCTTATTGATATTACAATTATTATAATTTGACCCTTGGGTTTATAGTGGAATATAGGGCTTCTGTAGAATGTCGCCATCCAACTCTCTTATCTACAGTCATCTTAATCTCACTCCACCATTCCACACAACCTTTCATTTCTCCTCACACAATCTCCCCCATGTCACCCTCACCTCGGAAGACAAACTCCTCCTTTACAACTTGGCATTCATTCGATGGCCTAGCCTGGCATGACGCGTGATATCCAAAAACGGTGTCTTCAGTGTTTGTTTATTCCAATACATCTACACTTTATTCTACTGCATATTTGCTGGGTGATGAGTTCTTGGTTGGTTGAGAATGCTGCCAACCAGCCCGAGTGAGTTCCGTGTTGTTTATTCTTATTATTCTGACCAACAATCTTATGTCAAATATCAGTAATGAGTGAGCGTAAGTGGCAGCTGTTGATGTAATGAATGTGTGCAGTTTGTTGAAAATGCTATTCGTAACGCGCCAAGTATCTCCACCATCACACAGAAGCACTGACTCACTTGAATGAATTAGTGTTGAAAATTCAGAAGTTGTTCACGCTTTATACTGAGTGAAGAGCAATGCGAAGCAGTGCAGTAGAGTGGAGTGAAATAGATAGCTACACTGAATTCAGACTAGTGCAGGAAGGCCAGTTTAGCTGTCTTCCCGATACTAGCTGGATTGACATAATCTTCTGTGGATGTGGTTAAAAAGATGCTGTCTAGGTAGCAAGTAGGTGAAAGAGACTACTTCCTTAAGATTTTTCCCCTCTATGGTGATTCGAGCTTGTTGTTATTATTCTTGTTAAGTGGGCTTCTTCATCACCTCTGTCTTCTCTACATTCACCTGAAGGAAGTCATGTCTCAATTCGCTGTCCTGTCTGTCCTGCCAACTTCTCAGTTTCCGCCTGTACAACTCCCAGTTGGTGCAACTAGATATTGGACATAAATCATCACCCTTCACCAAATAAAAATTCTCTGCTAAAGTATTTCATCGGTCTTCACAAACAGCGTATAACCATCTTCTCACAGCAACTCACAGTTGCTTCAGGATCCAATCCAGTCCAGTCCAGTCCAGTCCAGTCCAGTCGACCACAATCTGGAAGATGATCGGTGATAATAGTAGGCAGCAGCCTTGTCTCACTCCTCTCTCCTATCTTCACTTCAAAGGCATCACTGAGCTCTGCATTGTGAATCACTTGGCTGGCATATAGCCTCATCATATGACAGCATACAGCTGTTGAATGATGTTGATGAGGGTTTGTGGCACTGAAATCGTAGAGTTGAAGCAGCTGCCTGCCAAATCACTTCCCGGTAGACTCTGTCGAAGGCGTTTCCAAAATCGGTGAAGCTGAGATAAGATAGAGAGTTGACTGCCATTCTATACTCTGATCAGTGACGATGCGCACCGTTGTCATTTACACCCCACACGATTCGTTCTTCCTGATGCCAGCCAACCAGCCAGCCAGCAAGCCTGTTCCCATCGCATTTTTGAGTCCAGAGCATGTTTCAGTCTCTGCAGGGTGATGCGGCATGATATTTTGTTTGGTGTGCACAGTGGCGTGGCATGATTCATCGCCAGTTCTTGCAAACACACAACTCTCACTTCTACGACAGCTTGACAAGGTAGTCCTTCTTCCAATCCCTAGCTACCATTCCTTCCTTCCTTCCTTCCTTCCACTGCCCCATCCAATCCATCTGCAACAGTCGTGTGAGCATCCTCGCTGCTGATGTCAGTGTGTCTGTTGATATCAGTGCTCCCGGAGGAATTCTTTCTGGTCCTCCTACTTCCTCGACATTCAGTAACTTCATGGCGTTCAGGACTTCACTTCTGCTTTCGTCGGAGAGCTTGTGTTCACTGGCAATTCTGTGGCTGGGCTGCTGGTGGTATTCTGGACAAGATGCAGGTGATGTTAGTGGTGGTGGTGGTGGTGGTGGATTGAAGAGTTTTTTGAAGTGGTCTCCACATCGTTTCCTTTATTTCTCCTCTTTGGTGATAACCAGCTTACCTTCACTATCTTTCACTGGTCTCATCTGTGTTGACATCTCCCCTGATTGTATTCTGGTTATTTGACACATGATTGCTTCTCTTCTTGTGCTGTCCACTACCAGTTCGACACTCATGTCACCCCACACATTAGAGTGAATTTTGATGTCGCCATCCTCGATATCGTCTTGTCCAGTACTGATTTCAGTTGTCTGTAGAACTCCTCCTTATTCTCTTCATCTCAATTATTTGTAGGTACATAGCTAGCGTAGCATTGTATGATTTGATTGTTACCTTTCATCCCTCTTGAGTTGAATCTTGCTGTCATGATCCAGATCCTCGAGGAGATCGGTTCCCACTGTATGAGAGCGTTCGATGCTCTCGAGGATATCGTGATAGCCACTCCAAAACTCAATGTGCTCGTGGTTGTCGTCTGGGTGACAATATCGGAATAGATCATTGACTCCTCTCCAGTTGACAGTTGGGAGAGTCCACTTCCATCCCATCTGCTTTCACAGATTCCCAGTCTAGCACTACTATGCTATGCCTTTCCATCTCTTTGGCAATCTGGGTAGACTTGCTATGTTCACACATGGAGCCGACATTCCATGTTCCCATCCTTCCTTTCGCTTTCATCGAGAGAGTGGTGACACATCAGCCAATTGGCTTCCTGAAGGCTTTCACCAACCGGCGTCATTTCGTCTCCCCGATTCCAGTGAGGAATAAATCTATTTTAATTTTTGATACAAATTTTGTGTTTTGAAGTTTCTGTAGCGGTTGGATTTGTTTTCCGGGATAGGGTTGGTAGCCCTATGCTGAACCTCTCTCTTAACCCGAGCTTCGAAGCGGCTAATAAACTAGTGAACTAGTAATCCAGGTGAAGTTTGTGTAGTTATGAAATTGATTCTTCGTGAATGTAGTGATAAGTTTGTCCTTTATATCATATGGGAATAACAGTATACGTCAATAATATACTTCCGCCTTGATGTCGCGAAGATTAGTTTTTTATGCGTTAATCACTCAGCAAGCTTGATCAGGAACACAACGAGAAATGCCAAAGTACAATATGAAGAGTTATATAGTTTCATGAGATCAACATTTCTTGACCTTTTGTTTCATAAATTCTTACTTTCTTCGATTAGTCAGATGAATGAATATAATTTTACCCTTTTTATTCACATAAGCATAGCACATTACTTCATACACTGTATAAACCATTTTGAAGAAAATGTCCAGTGAAATTCCTAATCATGGTGAAGCTTCCCCTTATCTTGCGTCAATGCAAACCACTCAAAGGGTTTTTCTTGGAATATATAGGAAGAAGTTGTGAAATTTGAGTAATGAGACAGATTCTACCATCTGATCACTGTAAATATATTTCTGTTCGAAAACTTCACTTATTCATTGATGTGAAATTTATAGATGAAATATATTTGTAAAATCTAAATGAGGTAGAAAAATTGATTTCTGATATTTCACGACCAGGTGGAAGTTGTTTCTTTAGAAAATAAAACCTTTACAATTTATAGCTTACTTAAATAGTAAATGACAACAAATCAGATCATGTCATGGCTAACAGTTATTAGTCTGTGAGGTCAGGGTGAAGTCGTGAGTGTGTGTGCTCATCTGAAGAATAGGTGTGATGTGAGACGAATATAATATATTTCAAGTTGTTATTTATCGTAGACTGACATCAGTTGGAGGAACAAAGTAAACCTGGAGCACTGGACAGCTGTTTCGTCCTACTGTTGCTCCAACTGATATCAGTCTACGATGAATAACAACTTGAAATATTCCCAAATCTCCACAACTCCCTCAAAAAAAAATACAATATATGACGAATTCAGCTCGTTTGTGTGTATCTACTTCAGTGATCACTATTGCGTGTAAAGTTTTTTTTCGTATATACTCTTTAAGTTGGTTGGATAGTTAGCCTTTCATTCTCAAATGAATTAGGATTCAACACAGTGTGAAATGTCTCAGCCATCCGTCTTTTCTTGTAGTTTGAAAAACCTTTTTGAATAATTTTAATAATTACAGAATCAATTTTTTGACTATGACAGATGACATGAACAGTATCTGGCGGTTTGATTTGTAAATTCTCTAGTTTTATAGGATTATTTGACTGTCGTTTTTGTGTAACTTGCATATTCTTTAGCAAGATGAGGATCTCATGGGATAATTCCCCATATAACAACTATCAAAATCTACAC